TCTCTCTCTCTCTCTCTCTCTCTCTCTCTCTCTCGACGAGAAATGCTATATTTTTTATAACTCATATTAAAATAGATTTAGATTTTATTTTAATTTAATAATTAAACTTTATATGACAATGTTAAAATTTGTATTCAATACTGTTACGAATGTCGTAAATTGTTGTAATGAATATTCATATTTATTTTAATTTACTATTATTTGTTATTAAATTATATTTAATAACATACTATACATAATAACATACAATACATAATATATGGTTTATATTTAATATTTAAATAATATTTAAATTCAAAAGTATCATGTATTCATTATACTGCAGTAGATAAATACAGTAGTAGTTTATAAATACCTATTTGTTGCACTCATTCGCACTCATTACGTATAAACGGTATACTTGTAATTGATCATGTTACATTTAACAATTATTGTCAAATTATGTATACAACTGTATGAATGACAAACTGATGAAAGAATGAGTTTTTGAGAGCATAGAGATAGTTGGTTAGGGCTTAGAGTAGAGACTCTACTTTAAAACATGAAACTTTTATTTATTTTAGTTTATAATTAGTTTTTAAGTTAATTAAATGTTAACTATTTGTAATGTCTAGTATGCATACTATGTCTTTGATTTATTCATTGGATTTTTTATAAAATTAAATGTTTTTTATATAAAATTAATGACTTTTTATTTAAACATTTTATTAATCTGTATGTTTTAAGTCATATTTTACAGATCATTCGACCAGGAGTCACGGGGACAAGTATCTAGGTTAAGAATGTTCTCTAGCTCTTTATAACTTGACGTGGTTTTTGTGTTACCTTAATATTTTGTATACTGTTATTCATTATAATGATTACATTTATTATAGTCATAATGTGCCCTGTTGTTATTTTATGTCTAATTTAGTTTTTATTAAAAACTCCACTCCTTATATTCAGGTACACTATATGTGAGTAACACTTGAATAGAGTATAAATTACACAAAAATAGGCTCTCCTGGGCTCTCATTAAACTCTCCCAGAGAACATACTTAATCTAGGTACTCTGTGAACTCCCGGATCGTAACAATACAATCTAAATCTTTATATTTAACTTTTGAAATATTTATCAGTATATTAATTATACAATAATTGAGAGCCTTATCATCAAAACCTTGACTTTAATTCAATTAATACAAATAAAACAAAGATTGTAATTTTAATATTTAATCAAATAAAACATTTTAATCAAATCAATGCAAAGTTTGTTTGAAAAACTTTTTTATTGAAAATAATATCATTGAAAAATCAATATAACAGTAATAAATAACATTAGGGTTTAAAAGTATTGAGTGACAAAACTAATATTTGTATTGAATTATGATATAAAGGGTTTTAAATGTTGTTTACATTCCATGACATTAGTTATGGCTTTCAATTGTATTTGTATTGATTGGAATTGCATTGCCGTCGAGTATATCAACGATCTGTGGTTTAGATGCCGTGTCAGTCATGTCGAGCCCGTTATCCATAGGCTGTGGTGTCTGGTCTTCGCCGCCACTGTCTATACAGAAGAATAAAGATTTTAATTCATTAAATGATTGTATTTTTAGTGCAAATATATTTGTCATTAAATACAGGAATTTACAATTATTTATTAAAATAAATGATTTTCTATAATTATTAGCCAAACGCTGAGACAAATGTTTTTCAAATACCAACTCTTTGGTTGTCTTCGCGCAACACATCCAACAAGTGGTTGACATTTATTTCAGACATTAGTTTTGAATTTGACATTAGAATTTGAAACTTATATAAAATAATCTGTGATTTAATTACAATAATTAAAATTTAAAACTTTTAATCAGTTGTATGTCATTCACATTATAACAGATACTGTAAGTTATCTGAGATAACATGAATACTAATAGAAAAAAGTTGTGCCACACTTGAAAAAAGTTGCCTTTTTAAAGGTAATCTGTTATTGCATAACACAATGCAATACTGACCGCATATTTCTTATGTTGGCTATAAAAAGAGCCCAAAATTTGTACACAAACTTCACGTAAACTTTGGACTTTGGAAAATGTTTTACTGTTTGTTATGTAAGAATCAAAGGATTAGTATTGCATTGTGTTATGCAATAAAGGGTTGGGTTAACTAAATAAGGTAACTTGGGTCTGACATTGCATACATTTTCAGCATGTTTCAGAATGTTTTATGAATAGGTTGTTCATACAAGTGATTGTATAATATATGTATAGAAAGTTTATTTGCATTTAATCTTGATATTAATTAATAATTATAATCACTTATTATTGAAAAGCAATGTCTGAGACAATAGTCATGAGAGATCTGATTGAATTGTCGCTCGAAGACAATAAAAAACTTCGCAAAGAGTTTGTATTTGAGAGACAATTGTGTGAATGTTTGGACAAAATTAAGGATAAATTATTGGTTTTAATAAATAATTGTAATTGTAATCAAAATATTCAAATATTTCACGATTTGCTTAAGTTTAATAAAACGTATCACTCGTTGAAAAACATGGAAAATGTGGACACAATCAAAATCATCGCTAAATCAGGTATTTATTTGTATTAACTTTTTTAAATAATTAGTTTTTAAACATAAACCACTTCTTTATTGTGTTTACAAAATATTGATTTAATTAATTCTTTTATTTTTATGTTTTATATTTGCAATTAATTAAGTGTTTTGTTTGTTGTATGAAAAGCAATGTCTGAGACAATTGTGATCAACGATCTGTTGGATGAGTTGCGCGAAGTCAACGAAATACTTCGCAAAAAGTTGTCATTTAAGAGACAATTAAATGAAATGTTAGAAAATATGAGACAAAAATTATGGATTTTAATAAACAATTGTAAATGTAATCCAAATATTGAAATATTTTACAATTTGATTAAATGTGAGAAAAATTATCACTCATTGAAAAACACACAAAACTCTAATAATAAACAAATCAATACTAAATCAGGTATTCATAAAAATATACACAAATTGCTGTTTTAGACAATATTGTAATTTATATAAAATATTTTATTAATTAAGGATTGAATGGAAAACAGTTTTGGCAACTCTTAAGACACAAATTACCGCATCTGATCTCCGGCGTCGACACGAAGAAACACCGGAGACCACTGCTGGCCCGCGATATGAATGACATCACAAATGGTCATACTTTTACCGCCGGTAATCATATGATGGCCACCGATGCTATCAAAACTACTAGCGATATCATTGAACCCAATGTCGAGTCCATTGACTTGATTCTCAACGAAAGTGTTAAACAAAACACTTATCCAATAGTTTCCGGTATTTATAAATAAGAAAATTTAATTAACTCTAATCAAGCATTTAATTACATTCATAATTATATGTTTACAGCAAATAAGACACAAACAATGGCCGAACCGCGCGGTGACAGCCGTGAAGAACTCGAAACGGTATCTCAAGACCAGCCAATACGGCCGAAGACACCACCGATGCTCAGTCTGTTTCGCCGCGTTCTCAACGACCAAACGGGTGAACTCGAGTCGATCACCACCGCTGACGCCGAGATCATTGTCGCCGAACCCGATATCGCATTCATTCTCATGAATGGCGCCCAAAGTGTGGATCCAATAGTTTCCGGTAATTATTGACCAGAAAAACAGAAAACAATTGTTTTTCTGTAACAGATATTTGTTAATCGCATTCCTGTTGTCCACAGACAGTGGCGATGAACACTATAATCATGGATTGGCCACCGATTACGACGACGACATTGAACCCAATCTCGTCATTGACTTAAATGATACCCAAAGTGTTGACCAAAGCGATGATTTAAATGTTTTCGGTATTTAATAGCAAATAATTGAATTTCATTTATAATTTCATTTTTACCGCCATTTTTCTTATAGCTTTACGGCGTCGGGCGGCTACTGATGTGACCAACACTTATCAGACAAGTCATGTCCAAGTAATTGACATTAAGAACTTGACGACGGATACCGCAACTCTGGACGGGATCAAGTGTCCCGACTGTGGCAAAGACTTTACTAACAAATATGTGATGCGTTCGCACTATAAGTATCAACACTCGCCGGTTGGCCGCCAGCGAGTGTATGCCTGCCATTGGCCCGGATGTGACATTAAGACCAAACGTAAGAGCAATTTAAAAGTGCACCAATTGGTCCACAGCGAGGACAGGCCCTACCCGTGCGAATGGCCCGGTTGTGACTTTAAGGCCAAATTTAAGAGCAAATTAAACCGGCACCAATTGGTCCACAGCTCGGACAGGCTGTACGCGTGCGAATGGCCCGGTTGTGACTATAGGGGCAAACGTAAAGACGTGGTTCAAAAACATAAGCGCAAACACAGCATCGATAAAGCTTGTGCCTGAAATGATTGGCCCGATTGTGGTAAAACTTTCAAATACCCGGAAGATCTTAGGACACACAAACGTCGGATACATAAATGCCATTAATATAACCCTATTTACACTTATTGTAATAAGTTAATACAAATTAACAAAAAACAGTAATAATTTATTATTATCATATGTTTTTATAGATTTTGATTTTAATTACATTTAATTTATATGACTTTATATGACAATGTTAAAACTTTGCATTCAATACAATCTATATTTAACTTTTTGCTATATCTATCAGTATATTAATTATACAATAATTGAGTGCCTTATCATCAAAACCTTGACTTTAATTCAATTAATTAAAATTAAACAAAGATTTTAATTATAATATTTAATCAAATAAAACATCTTAATCAAATCAATGCAAAGTTTGCTTGAAACCGTGTGGGCACCTATACGTCCGTTCTTGAACACTGACCACGTGTTTGTCCGGGCGAGGGATATGGGGCGGGGGATTGGCCACCGATCCACCGATGATCACATCCGCTGACCGGCAATTGTTGATCGCGGCTGTCCTACAGTCGGCGCCGTCTCAGCCGACATTAATTTTAAGCACTGCTTCGTTGACTACTTTTGAAATGAAATATTTTCTCTAAATTTATACCTGATTTAGCGTTGATTTAATTGTTGTCAACATTTTGTGTCTTTTTCAATGAATGATAATTTTTCTCACATTTAATCAAATAGTGAAATATTTTAATATTTTGATTACATTTACAATTATTTATTAAAATTAATCATTTTTTATAATTATTTGCCAAGTATTTATTCTAATCACTTGTATATCGTTCACATTAGACCAGATAACATGAATAGAAATATGCAAAGAGTTGTGCCACACCTGAAGAAAGTTACCTTTTTTAAGGTAATGTTGGCTATAAAAAGAGCCCAAAATGTTTGCCATAAACTTTGGACTCAAAAATGTTTGACTGTTTGTAAGAAACAAAGAGTTATCTATATATAGTATTGCATTGTGTTATGCAATAACGGGTTGGACTAGCTAAATAAGGTAACTTAAGTCTGACATTGCATACATTCTCTATGCATGTATGTTTCAGTATGTTTTATGTATAGGCAGTACAGAACATACAAGTGATTGTATAATACTGTATATGCATAGAAAGTTTATTTGAATATAATCTTCGTATTAAATAATTATTATAATCACCAGGGAATTGCATTTACCCATACCACCTATTTTTAGCGGTTAATAGCATTACCCCCAGACTCGGGATGTGAACCGATCATGTATTGGGGGTCAGTTTACCGAAAGTTTATTTTAACTATATTTAACTATTTGAGGCGTTCGTAACTATTTTAACGTTTATTACCTAATAAGTAACTATTTGACACATTTTTCAAGTTTTTGGTATATTTTAGTATAAAACACATAGAAAATCATTTCTTAATTTACATTACTTAATTTAAAAGTTGGCAAAAATTAAAAATAGAGTGAACTATGAAAAATACAAAAGTTATTATAAAATATAATAATAATTATCATTTGAAACGACTGAATGGTCAAAATTATGAGTTGTAAGATATTCAGGGTTATGACCAAAATAATTTAAAATATTTTTAAAAACAGTTAATTTAGTTAAATACAAGTGATTTAACTTAAAAACAGTTATATATAATGTATTAAATGAGTGAAACTGATTTATGATAACATTTTACATGATTTTTAAGCCTATTTTGGCAAATTATAAGTAACTATTTGAGTAACTATTTGGGTTGTTTTTCTTACCTATTATAGTGACTATTTAGGGTCTTATACTTACCTAGAATGCAATTCCCTGTTTATTATGTATCGAAAGTATTATTACAGTATAATTGCAGTATAATTGCAATATAATTTACAGCGTGTGATATCACATCATTATTAGATATTAATTTAAAATTGTGCAATTTTTATATGACTAGGAAAATAATATTTTGTAGGGATTGTTTAATATTGCACATTTGTCCATAAATTAACAAAATATTTAATAAATTGATTTAATAAATGTTATAATAATTGTATAAAAACCGAAACATTATTGTCACAAAATGTGAGGATTTTCAGCAATAAATGATTGATAAAACTTTTTTCAAGGCTTGCTTTACGTAGAATCGTGACGTTTAATTACCATTATAAATGTTACACAGAATTTTGTTTCATTATAATGAATAAAAACAAGTTATTCTCAATAGAGATGATTGTTTTGGTAGAACTATTTTATATTATGTGCATTATTTTACAATTCTTTGAAGGCTAAATAGGTTTACCTTAATTTTGAATTAAATTTTATTAGTTGGCTAAACAATACATGTCTCGTATATTAACCATCATAAAATATACTAGCAACTTTGTGTAAAAAGAGCACGTAAAATTCACCAAGTTAGTAACCAAGTGTTCAGACCACATTCATACCGGTGCTAAATACCATGTCGACCACAAAATCACTATTATCTCTGTGCATATTCTTTGCCATAACTAGTGTTGTCATCAGTGGTTCCGATCACTCGCTGACCGCATGGGTGCCAACAATTCAGGGTTTGCGGCAAAGCTATACAATAGGAAGTGTTATACAACTAAACTGTAGTGCCAGCAAAAGTTACCCGACACCAACTTTGCGATGGTACATTAATGGACATGGGGCATCGGCCGAGTATCTGTATGGGTCAGATTCATCAAGGCAACATGGTGGTATTGGTGTTGGTGGTCACGTCCAGGAGCCATGGCTTGAACTTAAGTTTGTGGCAGATAATCATTATTTTCAAAATGGACGCATCCAGTTAAATTGCACGGCAAGTGTGCCTGATTATTATCTTACATCTACCAAGGTGGTCGCTAAGCTAGGTCAAGGATCATCGGCGTTGGCCAACAATCAAAATGCTAATCCCCAACACTATGTTCATTATGGTAAGATTAACCACAAGTTATAGTATGAAATAATCACGATTATTATTTTATTCTATAGATAATTCAGCGCCAATACAAACATTTACTCCTTTTACCATATATTCCCTCATTTTCTCTATTGTTATTCAATTTGCACTGTTTAAACATTTTTATTAATTTGTTTAACATTATTATATTTCAAATTGTTCTTGGTTAATAATAATATACGGCACTATTTTATTATTTAAATATTATGTTTACTAATTTTTTCAAATACGATTTGAAAGTTTCAGAATATAATCAATGTTCAATGTTTATGCATTAGTTTATTTTATTTATTAAAATTAAATATAATTATTTTTTAATGAGTATTAAAATCAGATTAATTGTATTATAAAGAAAAATAATAAATACGATTATTTACAATATTTTACAACATATTTACAACAATTCAATGTATGAAACATTAAATTAATTTTAAATCTCATTGATAATCGTTTTGTTATAATATGATTGCGAGTCATTGGCGTAGTTAATGGTCACGGGATAGGACTCGTCCTCCACTTCCGGCAAATAGGATTCAATGGCCGGTGTCTGCCATCGGAGGTCATCAGCGGCTGCGGTCTGTTTGGTCTCTGAAGACAATTGCAATTCATTCAACAAATTCATTATCTCTGTTGTGGACGAGAAGCGATTGTTCATTGCGTTTAACACATTCTGTTGACCAAAGTTTGCGTAATCTTTTGTGGCCAACAATCGGAGCAAACTTTTCAGGCCTTCCCTCGCATTTCTATCCGTTTGTCTTCTCTCGGCGTTCATTAAAGCGACAAATTTTTGACACTTTTTTGAATCCATGACATCGTCTTCGTTGACATAATTGTTGATTTCGGAGAATTTCATGTTTTTTGTTGTTTATTTGCAAAACTTTTATAAAACTTTAATTATTAATTGACAGCAAACACTCGACAGAGTAATTAATTATACAAATTAATTAATTAATTTCAAAGTAATGGCAATCAATTATACTTTCTCAAATGGGAGTCAAAAGTAATTATGAACTTCATATGAGATCTCAATCTGTATTTATATGTATTGAGCATATGTTGTGAAAAATGATGTGAAGTTTATTATAAAGTTATTTATTACGATAAATATTTGCTTTATTTATCGACAAAAACAATTTTAATACATCGATATAATGGGCACACGAGGGACACGAGGGCCACAAGTTTTCCATCATTGGGTGGCCGTCCCAAACAGTCGTGGTGGAAATTTCCCAAACACTTGTCTCAAAAACTTCTATAAAATACATGTATAATATTAAGAAGTGTTACCATTAAGTGCACACACATTCCGGGGGTGTGTTTACTTACTTCTACCGGGGAATCGCATTCGTCATTACATCTGTATTAATAGTTAAATAAAACTTTTATTTTTCTGTTTCATATAATAGTCGCTATTATATAGTGTGTTGTTTTTGCTATTAATTACAGAGAAGTGATTATACTTTTGATGAATTAAAAATAAGAGATAGATTTTAGTGTAAGAGTATAGCGATTGGGGTTTTCATATAATCTATGCTTAATTTGATGGGATTAACTTTTATTCCCGTCGCGACGGGACGTCCCGTCGAAAATTTTAAACTTAAATAAATTATTAATTATATATATTAGTTTGATGTAGATTTTAACGCTGATTACAAATATGCAATTTATTTT